CTTGAGTTAATCTTTCTTCCTGCTGGGCGAAATACAATTTCCTGTGGTGTAAATGCCCCTTCCAGTGTGGAACCTCTTTCTACTTTGGGCGAAATACAACTTCCTGTTGGGAAGCACACCTTCCCTGTGTGGGAAATACCACCTTCCTGTCGGGGAAACGCTTCTTCGTGGGGCAATACAACTTTCGTGGGGGGGAATGCATCTTTCCTGTGAGGAAACCTCTCTTCCTGTTGGGGACACACACCTTCCTGTAGGGGAAATCCAACATCTTGCAGGGAACGCTTTTTCCTGTAAGAAACCTTCTTCTGTGGTAGAAACCACACCTTATTGTGGGGGAAATACAAACTTTGTGGGGCAATTGAACCATTTCCTGTGGGGGGACGGGGAAATGCCCCTTTCCTATGCGGAACCCTTCTTCGTATGGGGAAACACACTTTCTTGTGGGGGAAATGCCACTTCCTGCGAGGAACCCTTCTTCCTTGTAGGGGAAGCACAATTTACTATGAGGATATACAACTTCCTGTTGGGGCACTCTTCCGTCCTGTGGACGAAATTGCACCTTCCTTTGGGAACCCTTCTTCTCTGCGGGAAAGTACACACTTCTGTGGGGAAAATGCACGGGACATGCACCTTCCAGTGTGGGGAACTCTTTTTCCTTTTGGCAAAAACAACTTCCTGGGGTTAAACACACCTTCTCTGGGGGACATACAATTTTCTGTGGGGGGAACGCTTCTTCATGTGGGGAGGAAATACAAATTCCTGTGGTTAAAACACCCATTCCCCGTGGATGGAAAATGCACCTTCCTGTGAGGGAATCCTTCTCCTCTGGGTCAAACACCCACCTTTTTGGGAGAAATTAACAACTTCCTTTGCGTGCACCCTATTCCTTGTGGAGGAAACACCCTTTCCTGTGGGGAGGAGGGAAAATGCCCCCTTCTGTGGGGGAAATTACAACTTCCTTTTGGGGACATGTACCTTCCTGTGGAAATTCCTTTTCTGTGTGGGAAATTACAGCTTCTGTGGGGGAACATTTCTTCTGTGGGAAAATGTTACCTTTCTGTGAGGAAACCCTTTTCCTGTTGGTGATGACAACACACCTTCCTGTGGGGGAAAAGCACCTTCCTGTGGGCGAACCCTTCTTCCTGTGGGGGAAATCACACCTTCCTGAGGTAGAAACCACACATTCTGTGGGGAATCTCTCCTTCCTGTGGAGGAACCCTTCTTCATGTGGGGGAAAATACAGCTTCTCTGGGGAGAAATGCACCTTCTGTGGGGGACATGCCCTTTCCTGTTGTGTAAACATTCTTCTGTTGGGAGGAACACAACATCTTGTTGAGACAACCCTTTTTCCTATTGGGGGAAGGGGAGGAAAATGCACTTTCTTGTAGAGTAAAGATTTTTTGTGGAGGACACAACATCCTATAGTGGAACCTTCCTTTCGGGAAACCTTTTCTTTCTGTGGGGGGAAGGAAAATGCTACTCATTTGGTGGGAACCCTCTTTGTGTAGGGGAGGAACACACCTTTCTGTGGGGGAACCCCGTTCTTCATGTGAGGGAGCCCTTACTTCCTGTGCGAGGAGGGAAACACCCCCTTCTGTAGGGGAATCTTCTTCCCTATGGGGGACACGCCTTTCCTTGTGTTTGTAACCCATTCTTCCTTTGGGTGTGGACAGGGAACACTTTTTCCTGTGTGGGAAATACAACTTCCTGTGGGTAAACCCTTCTTACTGTTGGGGACACGCACCTTCCTATGGGGACCTTTATTCCTGTGGAGGAAATAAACTTCTGTCAGGGAAATGCACCTTTCTTTGGGGGAAGTACAACTTCCTGTGGGAGAAAAGGAGAATACAAATTCCTTGGGGGCGGAGGAACACACCTTCATGTGGCGGGAGGAACCATATTCCTGGGGGGGACATCCTTCTTCTGTGGTGGAAATGCACTTCCCAGTGGGGAGAAAAAAACATCATCTTCCAGCTCTGTGGGAAGGTATCTGCAGGGACGGCTTGTCCCTGTTGCTCCCTCCAGGGGTCGCCCACAGCCTTGGGCAGGGGGGGTGGTTTCCGCAGATTCCTCCCCCTCCCCCGCCCCGTTGCTTTGCTTTAGGTTCCTCATTGTCTGCAGCCGTGTCCGCATGCTCTCACCTTAACGTCCCCGTGTGTGTGACGTTCCCCCTGTGTTTACACGTGCTCCCAGGTGTTCAAAGGAGCGGTATTTTGTGTCACGGCACCAATTGCGTCCCTTACTGAAGTCCTGTCTCTTGGATTTCAAGCTCCCAGTGTCTACAGCAGTCCTCATTGGGCCTGTGTGTGATATTCACAATAAAGATTTTAAAAACTAAGAAATAAAATTAAATTGGGACAGTATACGACTATATTTTGGATTTAAAGTACCAACAAAAAAAACAAGTCCGTAGGGAAAAATATCTAGGTGAGGACTGACGCGCGACAGAAGCATGCATTGTGTTTTGTGAAGTGGTGTGCGGTTTCACCGATACTGGCAGCGCCCATTTGTATCCATAGTTGTTCCGTTGGCACTGATGACGGGGAGGTCGCGATCGACAGATTGGAAGGTTGGGTTGGGTTTCTCATTTTGATGTGTTGTTTCTGGCCAGGAAAACTAAAATTGTTTTGCTGTGTTGCATCAACCAGGAGAACCATTAAACCCTGGCCCGTTTCCCAATGTTTTTGGCGTTTATGGGGCCACGCAAGCTGTTAATTGCCCCCTAATTCAAAAAGAAGAAGAATTCGAGTCTAAAGCTTTCTTTGTGTGGGTGAGCAGCTTGGAGTAAGCAAACTGTTTCTCTATTAATCACTTACTGATTACTGTGGGTTTCCGTGCTCCCTTTCACGCGGTTTGGGGTTTCCCTTGTGTTGACATCTGCTCATTTGGACCATTATGGAAGTTAGCAATTTCACTGTAGGTTGTTTCCCCATACGGCTGTTCCCCATAAGGCTGTTCCCCTATAAGGCTGTTCCCCCAATTAAGACTTTCCCCCCCTAGGCTGTTCCCCCCCCTTAAGGCTGTTCCCCCCCATAAGGCTGTTCTCCCCACAAGGCTGTTCCCCCCATAAGGCTTTTTCCCCTGGCAGATGGACAGTCCGCCCTGGACCCCGGCCCTTGCTTCCCTTCCGTGTTTCTTCGTCAGGGCGTTTTGTCCGTTCGTCCTCACTGCACCGTTCACATGACATGCTTCCCGCTTTCTACGCACCAACCCGTGGTCCCTTGTGCCTGCTTTTCTCTGGTGCCCTTTGGTTTTGGTCTGACCGCTGTCGGCCATGTTTGCAATCTTATTGGTGTGTTTTTCAGTGGTTGCATTTTTAAAAAATTCATCCTGGTTGTTTCTTTTATCTAATATATCCTCTTTATTTTATTTTTTATTTTTTATTTTTTTTTTTTTTAAAATTTTTTTTAGAGGATGTTTATTAAGATTTTTTAAAGTAGCGAGGGAGAGAGAGAAGTATCCATGAGAGGGAAACATGGATCAGCTGCCTCCTGCACGCCCCCTACAGGGGTCGAGCCACATCCTGGGCCTGTGCCCTGGCTGGAATTGAACCTGGGACCCTTCAGTCCGCAGGCCGACACTCTCTCCCCTGAGCCAAGCCAGCCGGGGACAGCCAGAGCAAACGGAAGGGAGGAGGAAGAGAGGGGCGCTGAGACACGCTGGCTGGCTGATCAGGGTGCACAGGCCTGGGAAGGAGAAGCACGTGTGGCAGGAAGGCTATCAGGAGGCTGAAGCCTGGCTGCTTCAGAAACTGGTGCGGACGGACGGACGGACGGATGGAATCCCAGGGGACTGAACATGTGTGGCCCAGGAATGGGAGGCTGAGGGCTGGTGCCTTCCATTTGCCATGTCTTAGGGGAGCCTTAGCGGGGAGCAAAGCTCCCAAATGTGGGCCTAAGCAGTGTGGCTCAGTGGTTGAGCATTGACCTATGACCCCGGAGGTCATGGTTCAAGCCCTGATCAGGGCACAGGCCTGGGTTGCAGACTTGATCCTCAGTGCGGGGCGTGCAGGAGGCAGCTGATCCGTGATTCTCTGGCCTCACGGATGTTTTTTATCTGTCTCCCCCCTCTCCCTTCCTCTCTTGAGAAATCAATGCAAACATTGTTTTAAAAGAAGATTGGAGTGGCAGTTTCTGTGTTTCCCAGCAGGTGGGTGGGCATGTACACAGAGGCCTGCCGGTGGGCACCGCTAGAGCGAGCTCTCTCCCGTGGAGGGCGTGCGGCCCGGTGCCCAGAGGTGTTCAGAGCGGCATTGGTTTCTCACTAAGTGACAGTCTGTCTGAGCTAAAAGCAATGGCACCTACTGTGAGAATTGTAGCATTCAGACTTTCTACAAGTGGCATAATAATTTTTTTTTTTTTTTTTTAAATATATTTTATTGATTTTGTACAGAGAGGAAGGGAGAGAGATAGAGAGTTAGAAACATCGATGAGAGAGTCATCGATCAGCTGCCTCTTGCACACCCCCTACCGGGGATATGCCCGCAACCAAGGTACATGCCTTTGACCGGAATCAAACCCGGGACCTTTCAGTCCCCAAGCCGACGCTCTATCCATTGAGCCAAACCGGTCCCGGCTACAAGTGGCATAATAATTTGACAGGCTACTTAAAATATGTTTTTATTGGTTCCGGAGGGAGGAGGGAGAGAGGGAGGAAGAAACACCCATGAGGAGAGAGAATCACAGACCGGCTGCCTCCTGCACGCCCCCCACTGGGGATGGAGCCCGCAGCCCGGGCCTGTGCCCTGACTGGAATCGAACCCTCACCTCCTGGTTCCTAGGCCGACGCTCTCCACTGAGCCATGCCGGCCGGGCTGACCGGCTAACCAGCTCCCTAGTCTGTGCTCATGTTTACCACGGAGACGATGAGGTGGCAGACTGGGTTACGTCTGGGTTGGGGTGAAGAAGGAACCCCGGCATCGATCTGAAGGATTAAACAGAGCGACGGGGAGAGGGGAGAGGCGAATGCGCCCACAGGTTTGTGGGCTGCTTTGTGCTTACAGACCTCTCCGTGTCCCCCCAGACAGAGGCTGCGGGCTCTGTGCTCGGATGCTGGGGGCCCACCAGTGCGAAGAGGCCACATGAAGGCACCGTGAAGGTAAGCGGGGCCCTCCCCCCCCCCAAAAACATCGATGATGACAGAAAAACATCGACCAGCTGCCTCCTGCACGCCCCCCACTGGGGATGTGCCCGCCACCAAGGTCCATGCCCTTGATCGGGAATCGAACCCGGGACCCTTCAGTCCCCAGGCCGACGCTCTATCCACTGAGCCACACCGATTTCGGCTTTAATTGGGTTTGAATGAACAGGAAAGCGGGCCGAGTTCCCAGGAGGAAATCTGCAAATCATGGAAGAGCACAGACTCCATAGACGGATAGGACCCACTCCAAAGAGGCTTGCTTTGCGGAGTGTGTGTGTGTGTGTGTGTGTGTGTGTGTGTACAAAATGAAATCAGCACTCTGCCCAGTCCATTAAGGGAGAGAAAAAAACAAACATGAATTATGAGAGGGAAATGATTGGCTGCCTCCTGCACGCCCCCTACTGCGGATCGAGCATACAACCCCGGTCTGTGCCCTTGACCGGAAATCGAACCTGGGGCCCTTCACTCCGCAGGCCGACGCTCTATCCACTGAGCCAAACTGGCTAGGGCTCCCTCCAGTTTGTTGATGAGCTTTAAGCCCAAATTATTATTTGTGTTGGAATCCTTGTGCTTAGAGGGGCAGCTCCAGCGCAGCCGCCAGCTGGCAGGGACGTGTGAGCCCCCCTCTGAGCAGCACGCTGGGCCGTGGTGGCCGTGGGTCCGCGTGGAAGGGCTGTTCCTCTTGGCTCCCTCCCATCCGGGCCGCGGAGCCCTCCCATCGCCCTCACTGGCGTCTCCAGTCAGAACTGGGTCAGGCGAGAACACGGCCGCCACCGCTAATTGGACCTTTCGGTTTCCATCTGTTTTGTTTCTCACTTCCGTTCAAGGCCCCGGGGACCTGCCGCTGCTGGAAAGCTCTCTTTGCTTCAGAAAGAAAAGAGGCGGACAGCGTCCCCTGGCGCTGCGGGCAGGCGGGTCCCGGTTCCCAAGCTGGGCCTGGAGGGGGGCCAAGTCCCCAGCTGCTGCTGCTGCTGCTGCTGCTGCTGCTTTTTTTCTTCTTCTTTTCCTCTTCCTCTTCCTCCTCTTCCTCCTCCTCTTCTTCCTCCTCCTCTTCTTCCTCCTCCTCCTCTTCCTCATTCTCCTCTTCCTCTTCTTTAAAAATGAGCAAGGGAAAGATAGAAACATTGAGAGAAACATTGATGGGCCGCCTCCTGCATGCCCCCTACTGGGGGTCAAGCCCACAACCTGGGCCTGTGCCCTGGTCAGGAATCAAACCCTGAGCTCACGGTGCTGAGGCCACCAGCTCTTGGATTTTAGGAGTGGTCAGGAAGGGGTGTCCGCTGATCCCCTAGAACCGTGGCCCCAAACCCCATGCGGCTCTTGGGCCCCTTGAGTTTTTAGCAAAGGCCAGCTTGGGAGGACCCCGATTAAGTTAATAACAATGTACCTGCCTACATAGTTGAAGTGTAAAAAATTTGGCTCTCAAAAGAAATGCCGATCGTTGTCCTGTTGCTGTTTGGCTCTGTGGGCTAATGAGTTGGCCGACCGCAGCCCAGGAGGCCCTTGCGGGGTGCTCTCTGGCGCTGTGCTCAGGTGGCCGAATGAAGTCTTCGCTGGCTCTTCTGGGGCCTGCTGGGCGGGGGCCTGGCCTGGGATGTGAAGCATTCAGCCCTCACGACTAGCTCCCCCCAGCAGGCTGCTGCCCTTAGTGTGGAGGTGACAGGTCTGCCTGAGCCCGTTCTTTTTCTATTCTTCTTCTTCTTTTAATCCTCACCCGAGGGTATTTTCCCATTGATGTTTAGGGAGAGTGGAGGAGAAAGGGAGAGACAGAGAGAAACATCCATGTGAGACACAGCGATGGGTTGCTTGCCTCCTGCATGAGTCCCGACCATGGCCTGGGCTGGGGAAGAGCCTGCAATCAAGGTACATGCCCTTGACCGGAATTGAACCCGGTTAGGTCCACAGGCAGATGCTGTATGCACTGAGCCACACCGGCCAGGGCTGAGACTTTTCTTACGGAGAAGACGAAGGCCACCTTGTCCATACGCACAGCCGCTCCGGGTCCATGGACTGTTTGGCACGTCGCTGAAGACCAGAACCACTCTCTGTCATTCTAGCCGTGTGTGTGTGTGTGAAAAGGAGAGTGTGTATGGCTTGTCCCTCTGGCTGGCTCGGCCGGTCAAAGGTGTGGCTTGTACCTGACCCTATCCCAGCCTCATGAATACAGCAGTGTTTCTTGTTATTGGATATATTTCACCCGGATGTATGCTTTTTCTTTATTTTTTCTTAATCCTCACCTGAGGATATTTTTCCATTGATTTTTAGAGGGAAGGGGGCAGAGAGGGAGAGAGAGAGAGAGAAGGAAAGAAACACCAATGTGAGAGACACATGGATTGGTTGCTTCCTGCATTCACTCCGACCAGGGAGCCAGGGATCAGACCTGCCACCTGGTATGTGCTCTTGACCAGGAATCGAACCCATGACCATTGTGTGCCCCAGCCAATGTTCTACCATTGAGTAGCACCGGCCAGGAGGGATATATTCTTTTTGTATAAATAATTGTGAAATTTGTGTGTAGCACATGATTACGCAATATAACACGAACCAGACATAAGTTAGCTTCATGGATATAACGTCATGGGAGTTGCTTTCTTCCACTCTCTCAAAAAGTGCAGACAAAAGCCTGGCGTGGCTCAGTGGTTGAGCATCTACCTATGAACCAGGAGGTCAGGGATCGACTCCCTTCTGGTCAGGGTACATACCTGGGGTTGTGGGCTCGATTCCCAGTAAGGGGCGTTCAGGAGGCAGCCTATTTATGATTCTCCCTCATCATCGATGTTTCTCTCTCTCTCTCTCTCCCCCTCTCCCTTCATCTCTAGAAACAATAAAAATAAAAACTTTTTAAGTGCAGAAGAAAAAAGAAATACAGACATGTTTGAAAACTCTCCATTTTCTCCTATCTCCCAGAGGGTAGCCCTCACTTCCACAGACCTCGTGGCTGGGAGGTGAGGCTAAGATGAGCATAACCAGCGACGAGGTGAACTTCCTGGTGTATCGCTACCTCCAGGAGTCAGGTAAAGCCACTCCCCTTCTGTGGGGGAAACTCACATTCCTGTGGGGGAAACTCACCTTCCTGTCGGGGAAATGCACTTTCCTATGGGGGAAATGCACCTTCCTGTTGGGGAATACTTCTTTCTTTGGGGGAAACACACCTTCCTGTGTGGAAACCTAACTTCCTGTGGGGAAACCTAATCTTCCTGTGGGGGAAACACATCTTTTTGTGGGGAAACACATCTTCCTGTGAGGGAAACATACCTTCTTTTGAGGGAACCCTTCTTCCTGTGGTGGAAATGCACCTTCCTGTGGAGAAAAAGACCTCCCTATGGGGAAAATCTTCTTCCTGTGGGGGAAAGGCACCTTCCTATAAGGGAATGCACCCTCCTTTGAGGAAACACATCTTCCTGTGGGGGAAATGCACCTTCCTGTTGGGGAATACTTCTTTCTTTGGGGGAAACACACCTTCCTGTGTGGGAACCTAACTTCCTGTGGGGAAACCTAATATTCCTATGGGGGAAACACATCTTCCCGGGCGAACGCATTTTACTGTTGGGAAATGCACCTACCTGTGGGGAAAATGCACCTTCCTATACGGGAACCCTTTTTCTTGAAGGGGAAATACATCTTCCTGTGTGGGAACCTATTTTCCTGTTGGGGAACCTAATCTTGCTGTGTGGTGACAACAGCTGTGCGGGAACACGTCTTCCTATTAGGGTAATACATCTTCCTGTGGGGGAACCTTTTCTTCCTGTGGGGGGAACACATACCAAGTGGGGCAAGGCACCTTCTTGTGAGGCAACACATCTTCCTGCTGGGGAATTCATTTTCCTGTGGGGGAAAGGCACCTTTTTGTGAGGGAACATATGTACCTTTTGGGGAAACACGCCTTTCTGTGGGAGGAATGCACCTTCCTGTGAGAGAAAACAGCTTCCTGTAGAATGACACATCTTCCCCTAGGGGAACCTATCTTTCTGTGGGGTAAACACATCTTCCTGTGAAGAACACACCTTCCTGTGAAGAACACACCTTCCTGTGGGGATCTAACCTTCCTGTGAGGGAAACGCAACTTCCTGTGAGAGAAAACATCTTTCTGTGGGGGAAAGGCACCTTCCTGTGAAGAAACACATCTTCTGGTGGAGGAAACTCAACTTCCTGTGGGGGCGATTCATCATCCTTTTGAGGAAACCTACCTCATACCTACCCCTTTGTGGGAACTTAACCTTCCTGTGGGGGAAACACACCCTTCTGTGAGAGAAAACATCTTCCGGTGGGGGGAACTCAACTTCCTATGGGGGAAATTCATCTTCCTGTATGGAAATCCTTTCTGTCAAGGAAAAGCACCTTTCTCTGGGGAAACACACCTTCCTGTAGGGGAATGCATCTTCCTGTGGGGGAAACGCACCTTCCTGTAGGGGGAATACTCATGCCAGTGGGGGCAACACACCTTCCTGTGAGACAACACATCTTCCTGCTGGGGAATTCATTTTCCTATGGGGGAAAGGCACCTTTTTGTGAGGGAACACATGTATCTTTTGTGGAAACACACCTTTTTGTGGGAGGAACATACATTCCTGTGAGAGAAAACAGCTTCCTGTAGGGAAACATATTTTTCTCTGGAGGAACACTTCTTCCTTTGGGGGAAACACACCTTCCTATGGTAGAACGCATCTTCCTGTAGGGGAAAGACACCTTCCTGTGGGGAAATGCTCCTTCCTGTGTAGGAACACACCTTCCAATGAGGGAAAACATGTATCTTTTGGGAAATGCACCTTTCTGTAGGGATGCCCATCTTCCTGTGGGGAGGTGGGGGTAGGGGGAACACACTTTCCTATGAGGGAACCCATTATTCTGTGGGGGAACACATCTTACTGTGGTGGAATACATCTTCCTGTAGGGGAACACTTCTTCCTTTGGAGAAAATGCACCTTCCATTAGGGGAACCTATCTTCCTGTGGGGGAACCTGATCTTCCTGTGGGGGGTAGGGAACACACTTTCCTGTGGGAGGAACGCACCTTCCTGTAAGAGAACACAGCTTCCTGTGAGGGAATACATCTTCCTCTCGGGGAACACTGCTTTCTTTGGGGGAAATGCACCTTCCTTTGTGAGAACCTAATCTTCCGGGGTGTGTCGGGGGGGAGACACACCTTCCTATGGGAGGAACACACCTTCTTCCTGTGGTGGAGAAGCACCTTCCTGTGGGGAAAACACTTCCTGAGAGGGAACTCTTTCCTGTGGGGGAAATGCAACTTCCTTTGGGGAAAACATTCTTCCTGTTGCATAAATGCACCTTTCTTTGGGAAAACACATCTTCCTTTGTGGGAAACACATCTTGTTTTTGGGGAACCCATCTTCCTTTAAGGAAACGCACCTTCCTTTGCAGGAAATGCACCTGCCTGTGTGGGAACTCTTCCTGTGGGGTGAATCCACCTTCCTGTGAGGGAACCCTTCTCCCTGTAGGGGAACCCTTCTTGAGGTGGAAGTGCATTTTTCTGTGGGGAAAAACTCCTTACTGGGGGGAAACCCTTCTTCCTGTGGGGAAATGCACCTTCTTGTGGGGAAACACCTTTCTAACTTAATCTAGTGGCCCCCTGAGATCCTGCCTTGCACAACCTACAAACACACGCAAGCTCCAAGCAGCGGCTTTTGCATATGAATTTCTCCATCGCAACCCAGTTTAGGCAGCTCCCAAACCTCCAAGCAAAGAGGAGAAAACTAGTTCTCGCTGTAGCTCCTGCAGGGTGGCCTCAGACAGTAGCTGACCTGCACCCCACTGGAGATCCATAAGCCAGTGTACCTAGTGGTCAGTGTGAGATACCAGATTTCAACTCTTCACATCCATAAGTGACACATTCAAGAGGCAGACTCAGCACCAAAGCCCCACTGAAACAATTCCTGCACCATAAGGATGTCTCCAGCACAGCAGTTCTTCCATTATAGACACAGCGGATCCCCACAGCCAATTGGCCTGGAAGTCAATTCCTCCCAGTGTACCAACAGCAATCAAGGCTTAACTACACCAAGACTTTTCACTCAGCCCACAAAGGGTGTACCAAGAGCGTCCACCTCAGGTGATTGGGGAGGCTGAGCTACTGGCCCTTATAGGTCACCGACCACAAAAAGCCACTCCATCAACAAGGGAGGCAGCCAAAATGAGGAGACACAGAAGCATGTCACTAATGAAAGAAATGGAGGAAAGCAAGCTATGGGACGACATAGAGTTCAAAACCACATTTATAAGGTTACTCAAGAATCTTCTAAAAACTGCTGAGAAACTTGATGAGACCTTCAAGGACCTTAATGAGAATACTAAAAAAATGGAAAAGGACCAGTCAGAAATTAAGCATACACTGTCTGAAATAAAGAATATACAGAAACTCAACTGTACCCCAAGAATCAAACCAAAGATCTGAAATATGAGGAAACAAAAAACACCCAAACAGTAAAACAAAAAGAAAAAAGGATTAAAAAATATGAAGATAGTGTAAGGAGCCTTTGGGACAACTTCAAGTGTACCAACATCCAAATTTTGGGGGTGCCAGAAGAGAGACAAAAATATTGAAAACATATTACAATAAATAATGACAGAAAACTTTCCCTACCTAGTGAAAGAAATAGACTTACAAGTTCAGGAAGCGCACAGAACCCCAAACAAGAAGAATCCAAAGAGGACCACACCAATCATAATTAAGATGCCAGGGGCAAAAGACAAAGAGAGAATATTAAAAGCAGCAAGAGAAATCAGCTAGTTACCTATAAAGGGAACTTATACAATTGTCAGCTGATTTCTCAACAGAAACTATGCAGGCCACACAGGTGTGGCAAGAAATATTCAAAATGATGAACAGCAAGAACCTACAACCAAGATTACTCTACCCAGCAAAGCTATCATTCAGAATTGAAGGTCAGATAAAGAACTTCACAGACAAGAAAAAGTTAAAGGAGTTCATCATCACCAAACCAGGATTACATGAAATGCTGAAAGGTATTCTTTAAGAAGTGGAAGAAGAAGAAAAAGGTAAACAAAAAGATATCAAATACAAACCTACCAAGTGAATCTAAAAATCAAGTGAATAAAAAGTTTGATGAACAGAGTGGACTGGTGAATATGATGAAATCAGGGACAATTCACAGGGGGAAGGGGAGCTGAAGGGTGTGGGAAGAGATTGGACAAAAGTCTTAGACCTGTGGATGAGGATAGTGGCTGGGGGTAAGGGCATGGGGTGGAGTGGGGAATCAGGTGTAGGAGAGCTATGGGGCGGGGGGTGGGGGGGAGAGGAACACCTGTAATAATCTGAACAATAAAGATTTATTTTTAAAAATAAAAATAAAGGCTTTGAGGTGATTCGTGAAGGTCAGGGTTTCTCAGCCTCGTACTGTGGACATCTGGGCGGGATCGCGCTTCCTCCCGGGGACAACCTCCTGGTACAGGGGTGTGTAGCTCACATTTATTGAGCACCTACTGTGTCCAGGCGTGATTCCAAGTATGTCTCAGCTGAAACGACTAACAGCCAGGAAACAGGCTGAGCTGTTCCCCCTTTTACAAGGAGAAACCCGGGGTGTGGGCAGGGTGCTGAGTTCCCTAAGTCACACCACAGCAAGGCAGAAAGCTGGGATTCAGGCCCGCCGTCTGGTTCCAGAACCTTTCTCTTTCCAATGTGGTGAACTCTGCTGGTTTGTTTTCTGAGAGGAAGCCAAGTGTTCCTGGAGTTCGTCCTACTTGGCTTGGACATCGTGTCCTTTTGTGTGGTGCTAAATCCAGCATTAACGTGCACCTCACCGAGGCCAGCTGGGCTGGGATACTCCTTTTTTTTTCTTTTTTTAATATATTTTATTCATTTTTTTTTACAGAGAGAAAGGGAAAGAGAGTTAGAAACATCCATCAGCTGCCTCCTGCACACCTCCAACTGGAGATGTGCCTGCAACCAAAGTATATGTCCTTGACCGGAATCAAACCCGGGACCCTTCAGTCTGTAGGCCAATGCTCTATCCACTGAGCCAAACTGGCCAGGGCTGAGATGCTCCTTTTTTAAAATACATTTTTATTGATTTCAGAGAGGGAGGAATAGGGAGAGGGAGAGAAACATCAGTGATGAGAGAATCATTGCTTGGCTGCCTCCTGCATCCCTCCAATCCCCCCACTGGGGATCGAGTTCAAAATCTAGGCCTGCGCCCTGACTGGGAATCAACTGTGACCTCCTGGTTCATAGGTCAGCCTTCAACCAGCGAGGCTTGCAGCCAGGCTGGGCTATTCCTTTCTGAATGTCCTCATCGGGTTTGGGGCTCAGGGGGTGTGCAGCGGGCAGCTGACCTATGGTTCTCTCTCATCATTGATGTCTCTCTCTCTCTCTCTCTCTCTCTCTCTCTCTCTCTCTCCTTTCCTCTCTGAAATCAATGAAAAATAAATAAAAATGAAGCTGAGATGGCTGTACCCCCAAAGCTGTTTTCCATCCTGGGCGAATGTGGGTCTTCCAGGGCCTGTGTCTCCCCTAGCCCTGCCCGCTTCCCCCCACACCAGAGCCGGGGGGGTCCTGCATGGATGAGGCGGGTGAGGCCCCGGTGCCCTCCATGCCCGTGGCCGTGCCTCTGCCTGCCTCCAGGCTCACGCCCCGCCTCCCCTGTCCGGCTGCAGGCTTCTCCCACTCAGCGTTCACCTTCGGCATCGAGAGCCACATCAGCCAGTCGAACATCAATGGGACGCTGGTGCCGCCCGCCGCCCTCATCTCCATCCTGCAGAAGGGGCTGCAGTACGTGGAGGCCGAGATCAGCATCAATGAGGTCTGTGCGCCCCTCTCCCGGGTCCTGGGGGCGCTGGCAGCAGGCCCCTCCTGCACGCAGCCTGGAGGTCCTTGACAGGGTGGATAAGGGGGTGTCTGCACTGCAGGCTGTGGGGACAGCAGGCCTGGGCACACACACGGAGGGAGCTGTCCAGGACCCGGGCATCCGAGTGTTTTCCACACGCACATGCGGCTGGATGGCTGCTGAGCGTCAGGCATCATGGTCTCCACATGCACACATGGATGGCCTGCTACTGCAGGTCATGGTCTCCATACACAGACACAGCTGGCTGGGTGCTGACCGAGCACCGCGGTGTCACGTGCAGTGTGTGTGTGTGTGTGTGTGTCCCCGCTGAAAACACAGCTGGCCTTCCTCCGTGTCCCACCTCCGGGCAGGCGAGCACCGGGCCAAGCACAGAAGGGCTGTCCCTCCCCGCTCTCTGAGCCGCCGGTTCCCCTGGGACCTCAGATTTGTTCTGTAGAATCAGCCCTGACATGTGCAGACAGAATCGGGGAGGGACAGGGTGGCTGTCCTAACTCCAGAGCGGTGCCTGCTCCCCAGGGAGCTGGTGGAGAAGTGGCCATAGTGACAAAGGGAAATGGTGTTCATCTGCTCGTGTCCCCTCTTCTTAGACTGGGCTCACGGCGTGGTTGGGCCTGTTTTTCATGCAGGGCCAGTTTAATTTATTTATTTATTTGTTTGTTTTTCAGAAAGGAAGGGAGAGGGAGAGAGAGAGAAAAACATCAATGATGAGCCCTAGCTGGTTTGGCTCAGTGGATAGAGCATCAGCCTGCGGACTGAAGGGTCCCAGGTTCGATTCTGGCCAAGGGCACAAGCCTGGGTTGCAGGCTCAATCCCCAGTAGGGGGCGTGCAGGAGGCAGCCAATCAATGATTCTCTTTCATCATTGATGTTTCTATTTCTCTCTCCCTCTCCCTCTCTAAAAATCAATTTAAAAAATTATATATATGTGTGTGTGTGTGTGTGTGTGTGTGTGTATCATTGATTTTTTACAGAGAGGAAGGGAGAGGGATAAAGAGCCAGAAACATCAATGAGAGAGAAACACCGATCAGCTACCTCCTGCACACACCCTACTGGGATGTGCTCGCATCCAAGGTACATGCCCTTGGTCAGAATCGAACCTGGGACCCTTGAGTCTGCAGGCTGACGCTGTATCCACTGAGCACCTTTTATATGACATATTGTAGTGCCTCAGTTGCAGTAGAGCACCTTTCCCATGCAATATGGCAGTGCCCCAGTTCAGTGTGATATTGACCAAACATCGGGTACCCCACTTAGGATAGCATTGCACCCTGTCCTGCACCCAGGCTGAGCCCACACACACACACTGCCCACTGCCCGCCCTTCCTCGCCTCTGCCCGCCCCTTTCTGCCTGCGGTGCCCATAGCCCGGTGCCAATAGCCTCGGGGCTGACGGCCGTGCCCCGGCTTCCCCAGGATGGCACGGTGTTCGACGGCCGCCCCATAGAGTCCCTGTCGCTGATCGACGCCGTGATGCCCGATGTGGTGCAGACGAGGCAGCAGGCCTTCCGGGAGAAGCTGGCGCAGCAGCAGGCCAGTGTGGCGGCAGCAGCGGCGGCGGCAGCAGCAGCAGCAGCAGCGGCGGCGGCCACTACAGCCACGACGGCCACAGTGACTCCAGCAGCGGTTTCCCAGCCCAACACCCCAAAGAACGGGGAAGCCACGGTGAACGGGGAGGAGAATGGAGCCCATGCCATGAGTAAGGCACATGTGCCTGTGTTGGGCTGTGTGTGACCGTGTGTGTGACCGTGTGTGTGGATGTATGCGCGTGCCCCTGTGCGTGTCTTAGGCAGATGTGAGGATTCTTCCCGGGGTGGAGTTGGCTTCCCTCGGATCAGCTGTGCAGCTGCCCAGCCCTGGAGGTCCAGATGGCCGTGGTGGTCACCCCTCACCGCGTGGCCTGCTCACCTCCAGCCCCCCGACCACAGCGCAGCGCCGTGGCAGGAGACCGTGACCAGGTGCAGGCCGCCGAGTTCTTCACATCCGCCCCGTGTCGCTCAGCCACGCGGCTTCCGCTCCCTCCACAGATAACCACTCGAAGCCCATGGAGATCGACGGGGACGTGGAGATCCCGCCCAGCAAGGCCACGGTGCTGCGGGGCCACGAGTCCGAGGTCTTCATCTGCGCCTGGAACCCCGTCAGCGACCTCCTGGCCTCGGGGTGAGGCGTCCGCCTGGGGCGCTCTGGGCGGGGCGCCCGCTGCTCTGCACGCAGTCCGGTCCCGCCTCCGGGGCGCATTCCCTCTGGCCTGCCTGGGCACCTGCCCCATCGGGGTGCAGGCCCAAGCCTGGGGCGCCCTGGCTGCTCCTCCTGGGGTACCTCCGACGGTGGTAAAATTGAGAAGTCCTGGGGCCGGGCTGTGGTCTCCCCGGGTGGGGCTGTGCCTGCATTTAAAATTCCCCTGTGCAGCATAGAAGGTGCTGAGAAGACCCACTGAGATTTTTAAAAAAAACAGCCCTGGCCGGCTTGGCTCACTGGATAGAGAGCGTCAGCCTGTGGACTGAGGGGTCCCAGGTTCGATTCTGGCCAAGGGCACATGCCTGGGTTGCGGGCTCAATCCCCAGTGGGGGATGTTCAGGAGGCAGCCCATCAATAATTCTCATGATTGATGTTTCTGTCTCTCTTTCCTCCCTTCCTCTCTGAAATCAATAAAGAAATATATATTTTTAAAAAATTAAATTAAAAAACAAAAACAAAAAACCAGCTCTGTGGGTTGGACTGGGCAGGCCGTCTCAAGGTGCCCGGCCCAAGCCGCCTGGCCTGGAGCCGTGGCCAGCCCGCCTCTGCCCATCGGCTGCAGGCCCTGGCGGGCTGCGTGGTGGGAAGAGGGAGAAGAACCCCGGGAGCACGCGGTAGCTGACTGCAGGCGCTTCCTCCCGCAGGTCCGGGGACTCGACGGCGCGGATCTGGAACCTGAACGAGAGCAGCAACGGGGCGTCCACCCAGCTGGTGCTGCGGCACTGCATCCGCGAAGGCGGCCATGACGTGCCCAGCAACAAGGATGTGACCTCGCTGGACTGGAACGTAAGCCCCGGCCGCCTCCCGCATGCTGGTGCCCCGGGGAGTGCGGGGGGGCTGGGTCGTGGGGCTCCTTCCGAGCATTAGCCCGAGTCTCTGAGCAGCCAAGGAAACATGACTTCCACCTTCATATTCTTTTTTCTTTTTTTTCTTTTTTTTAATGTATTTTATTTACTTATTTATTTATTTATTTATTTATTTATTTTTTACAGAGAGGAAGGGAGAAGATAGAGAGAAACATCGCTGAGAGAGAAACATCGATCAGCTGCCTCCTGCACACCCCCTACTGGGGATGTGCCCGCAACCAAGGTACATGCCCTTGACTGGAATCGAACCTGGGACCCCTCAGTCTGCAGGCCGATGCTCTATCCACTGAGCCAAACCAGCTTAGGCTTAATGTTTTTATTGATCTCAGAGAGGAAGAGAGAGGGAGAGAGAGAAACATCGATGATGAGAGAGAGTCATCCACCAGCTGCCTCCCGACCGGGAATCGAACCAGGACCTCCTGGTTCACAGGTAACGCTCCACCCTTGAGCCACGCTGGCCAGGCTGGGGACGGGTTATCGACGTGAGGATGTTCTAGCTCTGGGGTGAGAGGTCCTCTTCCCTCTGCCAGAACGGCCCCCGCTAAGCTGTCTCTGTCGGCCTGTCTCTTTCCGGCCCACAGAGCGAGGGGACACTGCTGGCCACGGGCTCCTACGATGGCTTTGCGAGGATCTGGACGGAGGACGGTGAGCGCCGCCACGCGCCCCCCCCCCCCCCCCGGGCCGGGGTTCGGGGTCCGGGAGGAGCGGCTTTGGGGTGGAAGTGCCGTGGTCTTGAGGTCAGCTGGTTTGTTGTCCATTTCCTTCCTCACAGGGAACCTGGCCAGCACCTTAGGCCAGCACAAAGGCCCCATCTTTGCCTTGAAGTGGAACAAGAAGGGGAATTACATTTTGAGCGCGGGTGTGGACAAAGTGAGTGTTTGCTGAAATACGTCTCTGATCTGTAGACGCTTATTGGTCTTGAATCTCTGGATGACATCGTGGTTTCTTTGAAATCTGAGGCTTTCTGTTTCCTCTTAAGAAATAGGTGGGCCGCCGAAACCGGTTTGGCTCAACGGATAGAGCGTCGGTCTGCGGACTGAAAGGTCCAGGGTTCAATTCCGGTCAAGGGCATGTACATTGGTTACGGGCACATCCCCAGTAGGGGGCATGCAGGAAGCAGCTGATGGATGGTTTTGAGGAAAATGTTAGACCCACCAAACAAACGGACGAAAGACGTTCGTTGGTCCAGAGCTGACCCAAAATGTCCAGAGTCCGGTTTCAAAGGAACTCACTGCCCCGAGTGTTTCCTCTGAAATGCCTGCAGTCAACACAGCCCACAGCCAGTTCCCCAACCACGGGCTCTGTTTTCAGCGACAGGGAGTTCCAGTAAAGAGGTAATGGCTGCGAAACCCCACTGGTTTCCCTGAGCTGGGATCTCCTGTCTCCCAGACATCAAGCAGATCCCTAAGAATTCCTGCTTGTCTGCCAGGGGAACGGCCCTCTCCCTGCTTTAGAGGCCTCTGCCTGGGGCCACGTGTGCGGCTCAGTACTCTGCTCTTTGTCCCCGATTCAGGGCGTTTCCAGAAATGCCCGTTCCTTCCTCGGCTCCTCATCTGGGAAAGGGCCAGAAAGATACGTAGATAAGCTTTATTATGCGTTTTTTCTACTTGTAATGGGAGAGGGGAAACCCCCACCATATTGGTACTTTCCCAGTGATCAGCTACAGCGGCTGTGCCTTGTGGGGTCACCACCAGTCCACCTGGTTGCGTATAAAACACTGGGTTCCACAGACGTAGCATAAACGACTGCCCGGGAGCTCGTGAGCAGCTGCATGTCGATCACAAGTTGAAACACTATGTTGGCCAGACTGGAATAAAATAAAATGTGTAGTGAATAAGTAGTTTCACTGCTGAAATCGGTATGGCTCAGTGGATAGAGTGTCGGCCTGCAAACTGAAAGGTCCCGGGTTCGATTCCGGTCAAGGGCATGGACCTTGATTGCGGGCACATCTCCAGTAGGGGGTGTGCAAAAGGCAGCTGATGGATGATTCTCTCTCATCGATGTTTCTAGCACTCCTTCTCTCTTCCTCTCTGGAAAAAATCAATAAAATATTTTTTTTAAAAAGTAGTTTTATGGCCACAGCAACCTCAGTTCATATCCAAGTCCCAGCACCAGAAAACAAAAAGAATTCAGTTTTCACAGTTTCTGTCTTTCTTTTTTTCATGGAGTGCTTACTAGGAAACAAAGCTCCCTGCGTGGCCCTGTCTGTGTTTACTGGGCGGCACTGGAATGGAGGGAGGAGGGGCTGCTGCCTCGTCTTGTAAGATAACTTTTCCAAGAGAAAACGTGGCGAGAACACTCACTGACCTTTCCCTTTCGTTTGCGGAGTGCAGACAACCATAATTTGGGATGCCCACACGGGAGAAGCCAAACAGCAGTTCCCGTTTCACTCTGGTGAGTCTTTTGGTTTGGTTTTGCAATCCTATATAATAAAAGGCTAATGTGCAAATTGACCAAACGGCGGAACGACCAGACTCTATGACACGCACTGACCACCAGGGGGTCATCGTGCTCCTGTAGGAGGAGCGCTGCTCAGCCAGAAGCCCTGAGCCGGGCTCATGGCTGGCGAGCAGGCCTAAGCCATCAGTCGGACATCCCCTAAGGGCTCCTGGACTGGGAGAGGGTGCAGGTCGGGCTGAGGGACACCCCTGGTATACGAATGTCATGCACCAGGCCTCTGGTTTGGAAATAATAGCACAGAGTTCCCATGAAATGTCCTGTGAGGTATTCCTGTCTACTCCAAGGAGTGTGTTCATGGAATCCAGCTGCAGTCCCAGGGCTGTGAGGCGTCGACGGTACAGAGTCCCCAACATCAAAGCATGAAAAACACCCCAGGAAACCAATCCCAGGACCAGTGTGGCCTCATTTCTCCTGCCAGCCCGGGGGAGCCGTGTTGGGGACCCCGGAGACTGTGCCCACATGGGGAGTCCCAGCTCAGGTTTGTCACAGCGGAAGGACAGAGAGCACAGCCAGCCGAGAGGGGAGAGGTCACGGTGAAATCCAGCATTGGCAGTGGTCTTCTCGCCGGGAGTCACCAAGGACAGGCCGAGTGTGCCAGGCCACGTGGAGCTCAGTGGAGACTTCGTCCAGGGTCTCGCGGAGGCTGGCACTGCAGGCAGCCTCTCCTTGGCTCGGACCCACGTTCCAGATTCCTGGAAGGAACTGGCGTAAACTACTAGTTTGCAGTTTAAGTACAGAAGCTGCTCTCATCAGTCAGGGAATGGTGGGGACGTTCGGGAATCCTGATCCCCAGACGTGGGCCCAGGGAGTATGGTCTCCCTGAGGTGGGGCGTCGTTCCCACAGGAGTGTGCAGCCACTGCCATGGGCCTAGCCACATCCCTCTGTGTGTTGTGGCCACAGCAGGCCACGTGGGGCAGCCCGGGCTCCAGAGACCACAGTGTCCACTCCCTGTCCCGCCCGCAGCCCCCGCCCTCGATGTGGACTGGCAGAACAACACCGCCTTCGCCTCCTGTAGCACCGACATGTGCATTCACGTCTGTAGGCTCAGCTGCGACCGCCCCGTCAAAACCTTCCAGGGACACACGGTAAGTGGGAGGACGGGGATCAAGTTCATGGGCATGTGCCAGGACTGGGGAGCCTCGGATTAAAAGATTCTGTGACAGCCGGGACCGGTTTGGCTCAGTGGATAGAGCGTCGGCCTGCGGACTGAAAGGTCCTGGGTTCGATTCCGGGCAAGGGCATGGACCTTGGTTGCGGGCACATCCCCAGTAGGGGGTGTGCAGGAAGCAGCTGATCGATGAGTCTCTCTCATCGATGCTTCTAACTCTCTATCCCTCTCTCTTCCTCTCTGTGAAAAATCAATAAAATATATAAAAATAAATAAATAAATAAAATTATAAAAGATTCTGGGGTGCCAGACATTGGGTGACATGAAATGCTATTGATCTTGGTCCAGCATCTAGAGGGGTTCTGGAATCTGGAGAAGAGCTATGCATAAGAGAGATCAGAGAAATAGCCAGTATCCTGAATTTGGTGGAAAACGCCAACATTGGTTTTTAGAGAGTGGGAGGGAGGGAGAGAGTGGGGGGGCCAGAGAGAGAGAAACATTGGTTACCTCTTGCATGCACCCCGACTGGGACCAGGGACAAACCTGCAACCCAGGTACATGCCTTTGACTGGGAATTGAACCCGCCACCCTTTGGTGCACAGGCCAACACACTAGCCACTGAGCCACACCGGCCAGGGTGAGAATGATTTTCAATGTCATTTTCAATGTCAAAACCACGTTGGTCGGTGGTCAGTTTTCTGTGCTGTACTTTTTAAATGTAAATGCATGGGCTCCCGAGGTGTGAGGTTTTTCTTAAAGAAATGTAGATGCGGGTTACTGGTTTTGCGTGGCGCGTGGATGTACCTCAATGAGAAAGGCAGAGTAAGCAGCAGGAAAACCTGAGCGCTGTGGTGGTGGAAACCATGGAGAGTCTGCAGAGATGATGGGGCGCCCCTGCCCCCTGCTGGACGGTTGTGGCACCTGCTCACAGGCCTTCATTTCTTTGTAAAATCCTTTGCTCTCTTTCAGAATGAGGTCAATGCCATCAAGTGGGACCCTTCCGGCATGTTGCTGGCGTCCTGCTCTGACGACATGACGTTAAAGGTGAGGTGGAGGGAGGGGCTGTGCGGGGCTCACCCTCACGGCTGCTCTGGGGATGGTTTTGTAACCGACACTTTTCCCGTGCCTGTACGATGGCCCCTTGGCTAATCAATGCCGCTGGTGGCCCGGGATTTTGCCCGCCCCTCTGCCTGGGCACCCACCCGCCTGCGGGCGAGCTGCCCCAGGGCCCCAACCCTGAGGAGCGCTCACGGCGTGATGATGTGGAGCCATTCCCGGCTGGAGAGAGAACTCCTCCTGCTCACACGCTTCCCAATGTACCCTCTAGATCTGGAGCATGAAGCAGGACACGTGTGTCCATGACCTGCAAGCTCACAGCAAAGAGATCTACACCATCAAGTGGAGTCCCACCGGGCCTGCCACCAGCAACCCCAGCGCCAGCATCATGCTTGCCAGGTAAGGGGGGCCAGCCTGCAGCCCAGGCCACGCGGCCCCCATGTCCTGCTCCGTGTGGCTGGGACAGTTCCGGTATCCGAGGGAACAGAAATGGCGGTCTGTGAAGGAGGTGGCCGGGAACTTGACTAGGGAATGCCACTTGTGTCAGAAGGAACAGGAATTTTGTGAATTGTGTTGCAAATGAGGTCGCGCCCTTTCAAACGGTACACGGGTAGCTCCTCCGACAGGACAGGCCCACATGACAGAGCCACGAAGGGACACCGAGCAAGGCCGGGGATCCCTGTGCCCGCCGGGCTGGAGGGTTCTGGGTGCAGGCGCCCAGCACGTGGCTTTGTAAAGGTTTTCGTCAGGACGGAGAGAGCGATCGGAGCTGAGCCCGTGCCCGGGGCTGCAGGTGGCGCGGGTTCTGAGCGGCAGCAAAGGGCTGCCCCTCACTCGCAGGGCTGACAGCCATGTCTGTAGTGAACCCCCAGGGCGGCCAGCAGCAGGGTCCCCAGAACTGGCCCACGCTGCTGTCGGCTGCAGTGCACAGAACCGCGTCGGCCCCGCGTGTAGGAAGAACGTCCAGAAAAACAACTGCAGAGGTCTGAGGCCGGGGATGCTGGGGAGCTTTGGGCTCTGGGGTCCAGGGTGCACACAGTAAAATTAAAATGCAGGAACCAATGCATGTGAAATCAGCCTGTTTCCCCAGTCACAGCATGCAAAAAAGCAACAGACAGGAGTCTGTCTTCTATATAACAGAGGAATATGCAAGTTATTTCTGTTATATAGAAGAATAACAGAGGAATAATTTGAAAAATATGCAAATTATTTGTCTGGAAACGTCACAACCAGGCAGCAGGGACCTGAGGCTGCATGGCCCCTGGCCAGGGCGAGGGACCTCAGGCCACGCCCCCCACCCAGCGGGGCTTAATGGGGGACCTCAGGCCGCACCCCCTTCCCTGACTCTGGGCCAGCGGACCTCAGGTCATGCCCGCTGCCTGGCAGGGCTTGACGGGCACTGAGACTGCACCTCTGTCCCGGAGGGGCAGGGCCGGACGGGTCTGGGTCTCCTGCATTTTTTATTATTGTTATTTTTTTTTAAATATTTTTAATTGATTTTTTACAGAGAGGAAGAAAGAGGGATGGAGAGTTAGATACATGATAAGAGAGAAACATCGACCAGTTGCCTCTTGCACACCCCCTACTGGGGTGCCTGCAACCAAGGTTCATGCCCCTTGACCGGAATAGAACCTGGGACCTTTCAGTCCATAAGCCGACGCTCTATCCACTGAGCCAAACCGGTTTGGCATTTCCTGCATTTTCGAAGTGCGTGCTGGTGGTGGGTGTGCCCCAGATTCTGACAGGAGCAAGATTTTCATGTACATTTTAGTAGTTTTCTTTCATCTCTGACACTTCTATTATAGAGAACTGCCCCAACCCGCGGGGCTCAGCAACGTGGGGAGAGGGAGGCGTGGCCCGAGGTCCCTGTGGAGGATGAAAAGAAGGGACAGGGGCACGGAGAAATGGAGGCAAGACAAAGTTCTGATCAAGCCTCAAACTTTATTTTTGGAACAGCAGTATATATACAGCAGGAACAAAGGGGGGCCGGGTTGCCTATGCAGCGGGGTCTTTGACAGTGTATAGTTGGTTTAGGCACTGAGTGACAAGGTGGTAAGGTATCTGGCAACACAGGATTGGCTAACTGCCAGGGCAGTGTAACATTCCAAGGCTGGGCTAGCTATGGGGGAGGATCAGGAAGGGGAGTTGCAGAGATCTTCCGGAGCAAGATGTGCTAATCGGCAGGTTATCTTTAGCTTCTGGCCAAACCCGCAGGGCACCGCATAACTTCTGCTAGAAGGAACTTAATTCTAAGATGCAGTTGTATTTTCTTAAGACGGAGTTGCTTGTCTCAACTCTGATGGCTCCCAACAGAAAAAGGACAAATAGCTGAAACTGGTTTGGCTCAGTGGTAGAGCGTCGGTCTGTGGACTGAAAGGTCCCAGGTTCGATTCCGGTCAAGGGCATGTACGTTGGTTGCGGGTGCATCCACAGCAGGGGGTGTGCAAGAGGCAGCTGGTCGATGATTCTCTCTCATCGATGTTTCTAACTCTCTATCCCTCTCTCTTCCTCTCTGTAAAAATCAATAAAATATATTTAAAAAAAAAAAAAAAAAAAAAAAGGACAAATAGTGATGTTAAAATATTTCCTCTAATTCTCTTTTAATGTGCACGAATTTTGTGCACCGGGGCCATTAGTTGTTTTATAACAATGGCTCTGCTGTCAATGCATCCGAGTCACATTTTTGCCAGGACGACGCATCCCTGTTACCGTCTCTAGAAACATGAAAGCGACATGGGGAAAGTGTGATGCAGGCACGCCGTGGGGAGGCGGGAGGGAGCCCCGCGTGTCCGTGGTGACGTTCCCTCGCTTCCTCCCAGCGCTTCGTTCGACTCCACGGTGCGGCTGTGGGACGTGGAGCGCGGCGTGTGCATCCACACGCTCACCAAGCACCAGGAGCCCGTGTACAGCGTCGCGTTCAGCCCCGACGGCAAGTACCTGGCCAGTGGCTCCTTCGACAAGTGCGTGCACATCTGGAACACACAGGTAATCCGGGACCTCTCTCAGCGGCCCGCCCAAGGCCAAGTTTCTGTGACTCTGGCCCGAGGCAGCCGCTGGGGTGTGAGTCCCCTGCCTCATCCTTCTATGGAAAACGGGGAGACAGTAACCCGGACCTTTAGTCTCCGGAGGTGCTGCCCCCGGGGTGCTAAGGTGGGGGAACAGGTGTCATACATTCGAGCTTTCCAAGGGGGGAGCCGGCCCTGACCTCCGGTCCGCATCAAATTGGAGGGTGTAAAGGAATGCCTGCTGGCTTTGGGGGGCCATTTTAGTTCCTAATGAAAATGGGGTATGTTTCGGTAGGAAAGGGTATGGCATAGAGCACATGTGTCAAACACAAGGCCCGCGGGCCAAATCCGTCCCTCCAGGCCTTGCAATGTGGCCCGCACTGCGCTGTCATCACTGCACTCTGCTGCGTTTCTATCACAATGACAGTTTATGACTGTTCAGTAAACCATTCGGCCCGCGATTTAGGCTGGATTTTAGATTTTGGCCCCTTCTCTGATTGAGTTCGACACCCCTAGCATAGAGGGTCGTGCTGTTGGCAGAACTCGGAGGAGACAGCATTTGAGTGAAGGGCGGCAGCGTGGGTAACCCGGGGTAAGAGATTCTGAATATAAAGACTGGAAGAGGGCGGCGTTCCTCGGACTGAAAGGTCCCTGGTTCGATTCCCCGTCAAGGACACAGGCCTGGGTTGTGGGCTGGATCCCCAGGAGGGGGCGTGCAGGAGGCAGCCCACCCATGATCCTTCTCCTCATGGATGTGTCTATCTCCCCCTCTCCTTTTTTCCCCTAACATTAACATCAATAAGAATAAATTTTTAAAAAAAAATTTAAGAAAAGAGCAGTAGAGTAGGGACTGTTATGTTACGCAGTCAGCCCTCAGTTCTCTTGCCAACGGAGGAGAAATGGTCAGAGCCGTTGCCAATGGCCAGCGATCAGTTTGTGTGACCTCGGGATGGATTGCCCCTTGTAATCCAGCCTGCCTTGGGGTTCCCTGTGGCTGGTTTGACATTGAGGTACCTCTGCATTGAGCCCATGCCCTCTTGTGGCAAGGGTTGGTAGTACATGAGGGAGGCTTCCCAGTGTCTGCCTCACCCGGGCTCCATGCTCTGGGACAGGGAGAGGTGAGGGGGGACCCTCTGTGGAGCCAGCCTCACAGCCCAGACAGGCCACGCAGAAAACCCATGTCCCAGGAGCACTGTGCCTCTTCATAGGAGCAGTCAGCATGGCTCAGTGGTTGAGTACCAATCTATGGGCCAGGAGGTCACGGTTGGACTCACGATCGGGACACATGCCTGGGGCTGCCGGCTTGATCCCCAGTAGGGGGCGTGCAGGAGGCAGCCGATCCATGATTCTCTCTCACCATGGATGTTTCTCTCTCCCTCTCCCTTCCTCTCTGAAATCAGTGAAAGTATACTTAAAAAAGAAAACCGACATTAGGGACCGCCCAAGACCGAAACCTCATCACATTGTCATTCCTTTTGTCTAGATCTCAAACCTCCTGGGTCCTGGGGGAGAGGGTGCCCTCTAGGCACAGCCACCACGGGGAGGTGCGGTGGCCTGGCTCCCTCCCAGCCCCGCCCCCTGAGCGCCTCACGCTGCTTTTCTTTGCAGAGTGGGAGCCTGGTCCACAGCTACCGAGGCACGGGTGGCATCTTCGAGGTCTGCTGGAACGCCCGAGGGGACAAAGTGGGCGCCAGTGCGTCCGACGGCTCCGTAAGCAGCGCCCGCGGCATGCTGGGGGGGAGGGAGGGGATGAGGGCGCGGGGCGGAAAGGGGAAAGGCCGGGCAGCCCATACCCGGGCCGAGGCTGAGCACCTTGCTGGTCTCCTGGGTCCTGGGCCCTATGGTGATCCGCTGAGGCAGGGGCGATGGGAGGGCTGGGCGGGCCAGGGCATCCCGCTCGTGTTCCCTGAGGCCATGAGCGCAGGCTTGACTGGTCATGGTCCCTGGCCCTCGGTGTCTGGGCCGTACCCCCACCCATGGCCACTGCCCCTGTGTCAGTTCCCAGGATGGTCACAGGCCCAGTCAGCAGCATGTGGGCAGTTTCTCTGAATGTTCACAACTGTGTGCCAGTAAAACTTTATTTTGGGTGGGCTGGTTCTATCACTAGGCTCTGCAGTATCATTTGCCCTCCCGGCTCTGCTCCCTTCCATACAAGCAACATCTCCTGCCATTGCCACTCGTTGGAATGTTCACAGTCACGTTCCTGTTCCCTTTGCTACAATAACGGGCCCTCCGTCTCCCCGCAGGTGTGTGTGTTAGATCTGCGGAAGTGACCGCGGTGGCCGGGAAAGAGGAGAGGTCATGGACCAGCGGTGGGCACGGGGCCTCGGCACCCCTGGGGCTCGATCCTGCAGCTGCCAGACTGCGCGGCGTGCCCCGTGGGCCTAGTCCGGGAGCCTGTATTCGACGTCCTCGCCGAGCGTCTCTCTCACACACACACACACACACACACACACACACACCACACACACAGTTGTATCCGAGGGGGGCAGCCCGGCGCCCCCAGCCCGATGATGCGTGCAGATGGCTGCCATGGCTGCCATGGGGGGGTGCCAGAAAAGGGGAGAGAGAAAGCTGCTGTGATCACTCAAAAGGGGTAGGAGACTCTCCCCCCCAAACCCCCCTTCCCCTGCGGTCCACGTGGCTCCCTAACAGTTGGACACAGCGGGCTTGCAGAGGGATTCCAAAGCCAGCCTGTGCGGCGGGAATGCGCCTGGGGGACCCCAACTCGTCCGTGTCCCCCACCCTGCGCTGTCCGGCGGCGTTGCTGGGCCTTCTTCCCTCCCCTGTCCTTGACCGTCCCCCACCTTTGTCCTCCCTGCCGGGTCTGGGCTTGCTGTAGACGCGGCCTTGGGGACACTTGGCAAAGTCTGTGCCTGCAGCTTTCTGCTCCTCCCCTCCTCTGTGCCCCCCCTCCCCTCCCCGCACCCCCTGGTCAGAGCTGTGTGCTATGCACCACAGGCCTCCAGGGCACATTCCTCGCAAAACAAGTGCTTTATGTGGGAAGGCAGGGCAGGGGGCTTTTTACAGGAGAGGGAAAAAGACTTATGAGAGAGAGCCCCGAGTATTTTTGGAAAAAAGAAGATATTTTTATGTGAAAACGATTTTAAAATCCTTACAATGGCCGTCAGACAGAGAGCTTTGTGCGGTTTCCTGTTTTAAGCGGTTCCGGGGAGCGGTGTGTGGCGGGTGGGAGGGCACGCGTGGGGGGCAGAGCCGAGGGCGCTGCCCGGTCCCCGGGCTCTGCCTGGGCGGCCGCAGGAGCACAGTTAAGGAGGTGCACAGGGACCTTGGTGACCTCAGGAGCGAGTCCCCAACCAAAAGGCACCGAAGCCAGTACACAAGAGGCTCTGCTCCCTGTAGGTTGGCCCTGGGGCGCTGGGAAGGGGGCTGGCACGGCTGCCCCCAGGGCGCTGGGTCTGGCTGCTCAGAGGTGCCGGGGAGGGAGGCCCTGAGGGGAAGCACAGGTGGAAGGTCACCATCGTGCACCTGGCTGTGCGCCGGGAGGTGGCTGTCCGGCTGCGCTGGGCCCCGCTGGTTCTCGGGGCCATCGCATTGGGGCGCAGCGGGGATGGGGCGGCGATAAACCCTAATGCTGACCGACAGCTCTGCAGGGTCCACCCCGGAGACAGGACACTGGTGGGAGGAGCTGGAAACCCACCCTCAGGGCGGGTGCGCACGTCCCAGAGACCTGGAAGGCTGGGCCCGTGGGGCCGCCTCGTGCTGTCATCAAGGGGCTCCCCGTGGATCCTCCAGCCCCTGCCAGAGAAGACCCCAAAATGCCGGTGCCAAGTTGGATGCTTGCTTTGGGTTGTGGCCTCGCCAGAGCCCGGGGTCTCTGGTCATCACTCTGGTCTCTGCGGGCAGCCGGCACCCCAGCCTGCAGGTCCTCTCTGCCCGGAAAAGTCTGGACATTGGGGGCGCAGTGTGTGGGGGTGCTGAGGAGCGCCATCTGACACCCCATCCCCCAAAAACGGGCGCGTCTCTGAAGCTGGGCATCGCTGCCCCACGGGTGTCAGGGACCGGGACATGTCAGGGCGCCATCAGGGCCCCTGCGGGTTCGGAGCTATCGCAGACAATCTTCACACCGTGGTCGGGGTGCACGCAACCCGCTGGCCACAGTGAGGTGGGGGACCCTGGGCCACGTGGCTCAGTCCCATGGGGACTCCGCGGCCCCGGCTTCCTGCCCCTGGCCTCGGAGACAAGCTGCCGCAGCCACAGGGGCCGGAGTGTCTAGGCGCCGTGACAGCGGGCAGCTAGCCCCGGGAAGTAGGGCTTTTTGACAGCTTACACCCTAACACTGCCAGACAGTGAGCAAACGTGACCTTGATCCTGAGCAGGCCTCCCACGCCCAGCCTCCCGGAGTCTTTGCTGGGTTTGCAGTGAGCGGGGCTGGCAGAATGGCAGTGAGCGGCTTCACCCCGGGGACTGGAGTTCTCATTTTTAATGTTTTTGTTTTCAGTGATTTCAGAGAAGAAGGAAGGAGGAGAGAGAGAGAGAAACCGAGAGCCATGATGAAGGTGACTTATTGATGGGCTGCCTCCTGAATGCTCTGTGCCCTGCTGGGGAAATGAACCCAGACCTCCTGGGTCATAGGTCACTACTGGACCACTGAGCCACACCAGCCTGGTGGGGACTGGGGTTTCCCTTCTGCCCTAACATTGGTCGAGGGTGGGGAAGTGCACTTGGCCCCGTACCGAGTCTGCTTCGTCCTGCTTCCTCTCCTCTTGTACCCATGCCACCTATTTCCCTTCACAAACTGTGTTTCGGGTCAAATGCACAAGCGTGCCCTCTGCCCCTCCTGGGGGCTGGGAGCTCTGGCCTCTGCGGTGTTTGTCGTCTGTGCCAGGTGTGCCAGCCCACTGTCTGCTCCGCCAGCGCCCATGTCCGCGTCCACATCTGTCCCCCCCGCGTCCCCTCACACACTCCGACATAATGATCACCCTGTGTGTGGTAGCCATTTGTTCCCAGAGAACCAGCAGGTCTTGTTCAGATCTTGAATAAAATCGCTCTATTTTGATACGAGAGACAGTGGTAGGTGTGCTTTCTTCCCGCTCGGCCCCTGGGGCCCAGGACGCCCCGATGAGCAGACACAGAAGGGGTCTCGGGTGTGGGCCTCTGGGATTCGACCCAGCCTGCCAAGCTGTGGGAACAGCAGCCCAGGTGGCAAAGGGTCTCTCCTATGGGCATGTGTTTCTCTTTCTTAGTCTTTATTGTTGAATGTATAACAAATGTCCCCTTTTCCCCCCTCTGACCTTTCCCCCTCCACAGGCCTCACACCCCATTGTCCGTGACCCTGGGTCTTGCACATGTGTGTACAAGTTCGTTGGCTGGTTTCTTCCCACCACCACCCTGCCTTCCCTCTGAGGTTTCAGTCTGTTTTTTTGTGTGTGTTTTAATGGTGGTTTCTCATGTTTTTATTTTATTTTATATATATATACTGTGTTTCCCTGAAAATAAAACATTCTCCAAAAATAAGATCTACTTACAGATTTCCTTCTGAGTGAAATATAAGGCATCCCCCCGAAATTAAGGCCCCCCCATTCTGTCTCAGAATGAAAACTAATTTACTGTAAAGTGGTTGCTAGGGCCGCCCCGACTGGCGTCTAGCAACCAGTGACGTTACCCGGAGTCCTGACGTCACTGCTGTGTGGAGGCGGAGCGCAGTCAAGTGAGCGGTGAGCGCAGGGTGGGAGAGAGGAGGAGACTTTCGCAGATGCATGTAGAAGAACAGAAGGATTAGAGCAGACAGGACTCGACAAAGGTGGTGAGTGCTGGTCTGTCTCTGGTGACACTACCTGATGCTCGCGGCCGCCCTCATGATGACTGAAGGTTCTCAGTCAGTGGCACACCCTGCTCCAGCCCAGATCCAGGCCCCAGCAAGCCCAGTGAGTCCCCAGGCAGGCCCCAGGGGGTAAATGTCTGATAAAGGAGTAGGGGGATGTCTGCTGAAGGTGTTCAGTGGCACAGGGGTGGGGGGGAGATCACTTAAAATGACACAGGAGGATCAAAAGGGGTTACTAAAATGATAATCCCCCCTCTGATTCTCCTGTGCCATTTTGATTCCCCCTCTGATCTCCCGTGTCATTTTAAGTGGTCCCTCTCCCCCCACCTTGATACCCCAATTCCTTTTTTTTTACCCCTAGAAATGAACGCAAAAAGAAAAAGCTACTCTTTGGAGTACAAGAAAGGAATCATGGAAGACTCTTGGGGCCAAAATCTTACTGCTTTCTGCAAAGAGAAAATGTTGAGTATCCAATTGGTCCGAAAATGGCGAGCAGAGTATGGTAACCTCATTGAACAAGTGGACAAGGGAAATGCTAAAAAGCACAAGTCTGGATCAGATTGGCAACCATTATTTTCTGAGCTGGAAGACCTGATCTGTGAATGGGTTGTTGTCAGGAGAGCAAAGGCTTTGGTTGTGAATAGGGCTCATTCAAGAATTTGCCCTTGCAATGGCACCACAGTTTGACATAGCCCCTGAAGACTTCAAAGCATCACAACACTGGCTGGATAATTTCCTTCAGCGAAGTGAACTGTCTTTAAGAAGATCTACAACATTGTTTAGGGGGGAAGATACTCAAGTTATTAAGCGAGCACTTGCATTCAAGTCCTTTATTGATGATGCTGACTTCTCTAAATACAATCTTTCCAACATGATTGCTATGGATAAAACTGCAGTGTTTATGGGCCAATCATCTCAAACAACAATTGAACAGCGGGGTGCCTCCTTAGTGTACTTTCCTTAGAAAAGTGCACGTGTTTCCTGTATTTTGGCAATTCGTCTGGATGGCACTAAAATCCCACCGTTAATCATTTCTGAGGGCAAGAAGGAAAAGATTGAACATGTTTTGGGTGTTTTTATTCTTGAAACTGAAAAAGCCTGGGCCACACAAGCAGTTATAAGAAAGTGGGTCGATTTAATGCTGCCGCTTGTTATGTGAGGGAGCCAAAGAGGTCTGCTAGTCTGGGATGCAGCCAGCACTCACCGCACTAAAGACATAAAGACATTTCTTCATGAAAGAAAAATAGATCAGATAATGATTCCTGCAGGAATGACAGCCTATCTCCAGACTCTTGATATTGCAATAAACAAGCCATTCAAAGACAATTTGCACATGGAGATTAATGACTACATTGAAAATGGAATGAAATTTGCATGGAATCTGTGAAACCTAAACTGCAAGAAGTTGTGACTTGGATGAAGAATTCATGGGAGAAAATCACTGACAGTTGCATTGCAAATGCACTGCGAGCAGGCTACCTTGACAAGAAGTACTCATTTAAAGACAGTGCTATTGCTAAACATGAGAGATTTGGTCCACTGATTCTGAAAGAAATGGAGTCACAAGAAATTCACCAGGAAATTCAGGAACTGGATTGTTATGATGATGTTCCAGAAGATGATGACATGATTGTCATTGAATAAGTGAGTAAATTCTTGATATTGTAGGATTTAGTTTGTCTGGTTTGTGCTGACAACTACAGTACTACCGTACTGTATACAGGTAATAAATTTCCTTTATTTTCATTTAACAATAAATGTGTACCATATACTTCATGGAAAAATAAGACATCCCCTGAAAATAAGACCTAGTGCATCTTTGGGAGCAAAAATTAATATAAGACACTCTATTATTTTCGGGGAAACAGGGTAGGACAGATGCCTCAAATTCCTTCACTATCATGTTAATTGTTCCTGCACTTACCTAAGTACACGTCCATTTACTTTTTATCCAATCCCAGGGGTTTCACATCACTTTGCTTTCTTCCATCTCCTTACTCCATTACCAATGGATTTCCTGTCACCCACCTTTGTCCCTCCTTTGATTGCAATGTATAAATAGAAATGTAGTCGAAACCAGTTTGTCTCAGTGGATAGAGCATCAGTCTGCAGACTGAAAGGTCTTGGGTTTGATTCCGTTCAAGGGCATATACCTTGGTTACGGGCACATTCCTAGTAGTGGGTGTGCAAGAGGCAGCTGATGGTTGATTCTCTTTCACCAATGTTTCTAACTCTCTATCCCTTTCTCTTCCTTTTTGTAAAAAAAAAATCAATAAAATATATTAAAAAGAAATAGAAATGTAACCTGACATTCTTCAGAGCATTCTCTCAATCCATTGAGGTTCTGCTTC